GCCCCCGATGGGGAGGACTGGGCTGGCTCTGCGGGCTTCTGGGGGTGGAAGCTCTCCTGCAGCCCCCCAATTGCCCTCTCTCCCCAGATGGCAGCCTGCGGCAAGTGCAGCCGGTCTGATGGCCGAGTGCTGTGATGTGCCCAGTGTGGGTACTCCGGGCACTCCAAGCCAGGACTGCTTTGCAAGCGGGGCACCCCTGAGAACTGTCTGTCCGGGGTGGGGGTCGGGACCCTTTAAGCGCAGCCCTCGGCTAGCCTGAGACAGCATCTCCACGCTCTAAGTCCTCCTCTGCTGCCCTGCCGGCACTGCTTCCGGCCATCCTTAAGCCTGGTTCAGGGTCCACTCTGTGTGGACATGCTAGTTCGAATTAGCAAAACGCTAATTCGAACTAGTTTTTTAGTCTAGATCCGTTAGTTCGAATTAGCTTAGTTCGAATTAACTAATTCGAACTAAGTTAGTTCGAATTAACGTTGTAGTGTAGACGTACCCTGAAGAAGTGGGTTGTGCCCACGAAAGCTCGTGATACCAGCTACATGTTTTGTTAGTCTTTAAGGTGCTACTAGACTATTGGTTGTTTTTTAAGTTTTTCCTGTTACAGACTAACTCGGCTACCCCTCTGAAGCTTGTATGCAGCCTGAGAGTCCTGATTCTTACTATTAGCAAAATAAGTTAACTGACCAAAATGGGGTGGGGAAGGGGCTGTTGCATTCATACTGGAGATAAAGTTAGCAGAGAAGTTTCCCTTTGTCAGGACTTCTGGATTCTGTCCCCAGATTTGATGCTGACTCATGGTGCATGTGTTTGAGTAAGATGTGCTGAGTTAGAGCTGCCCAGTGGATTCCTATTATTCTCAGGCCATCATGCCAGAGTTGTTGACTCGAATCCCACGACTTGAACTCAAGTCCAACTTAAGTCGCCTAGATGACTCGACTTGAGACTCGACTCGGGTTCATTGTTTGTGACTTGAGACTCGACTTGAGACTTGCTAATTTTGTTAAATTGACTTGGTGAAAAAATTGTCCAAAAATGCCGATAGTGATGGCTTGTACAAAAGTGACTTGACATTTTTTAAATTAAGACTTGAGACTCGACTTGGGACTTGACTCGAAAGTGACTTTAGGGACTCGAGACTTGACTTGAGACTTGAACTGTAGTGACTTGAGACTCGACTTGGACTTGACAATGATGACATGAAGACAACACTGCATCAGGTAGTGCTGGGTTTGAACCTGTCTGCTTGCTAAAGGGACACAATGAGAGCAAATGGGATCCCAAATTCAGGTCTGGGAAAACTTCCATTTTAGATGCACTCGAGGCCCATAGAAATAGTGCCAAGATTCTTTTTCTTGTTCATTCTTTTTTGATTTTAAAAGAAAAACATTTTCTGCAGCATTTTCTGCAGCATTTGTAACCAAAACAGTGTAGCATTGTGCTAATGCAAGGGTATGTCTAGACTACATCCCTCTGTCTCCAGAAGGATGTAAATTAGACATACCGACATTGCAAATGAAGCGGGGATTTAAATCTCCCGCGCTTCATTTGAATAAAAATGGTCACTGCATTTTGCCGAGTCAGCAGTTTGTCAGCAAAAAGCGGCTGTCAAGATGGGGATCGGGCGACAAAGAAAGCCTTTGTTGGCTGATCCCTTATGCCTTGTAAAATGAGGTTTACAGGATCAGCCGACAAGGGCTGTCTTTGTTGCCTGATCCCTGTCTTGACAGCCGCTTTTTGCCAACAAACTGCTGACTCGGAAAAACATGGTGACCATTTTTATTCAAATGAAGCGTGGGAGATTTAAATCCTTGCTTCATTTGCAATGTCGGTATGTCTAATTTACATACTTCTGGCGACAGAGGGATGTAGTTTAGACATACCCCAAGAGATCCTGAAAGTGACATTGAACTGAACATAGAAACTGACCGTGCACAGGAATGGAGCTGATTGATCTGTTTGCTTAGTCTAAGCTTAGAGAAGGGGTGGGGAATCTCAGGCCCGGGAGCCAAATGCAGTCCCCGGATTGCCTGGATCTGGCCCCTGAGGCTCAGCCCGCTCCTGCCCCCACCAGCATTGGGGACCCTGTGCTAGCACTCCAGAGCCTCCACGGCCCCACTGCGGATCTGGGGTACACAAAATCTACTAGGCTAGGCCCACCCAGGGTCTGGTGTGTGAGAGGAATGTGGGGAGTGTCTTTCTCTTTCTCACTCGGAGGCCACATCAGTGAAAGGGTTTTTTCCCCCCTGTGGCTCTCACTTGTGTGATGCTCCCAACTGGTTTTTCTCTGAGTCAGCAGCCCCTGACCCAAAAAAGGTTCCTCACCCCAGCTTAGAAAAATGCGAAATGTCAATAAGCATGATAAATGGCATAATGTAAAATTTTAAAAATGCCTTTCACTGGCATAAATCATCGTCTGTGCATTGACATCAATGGAGAAGATGGCCCATTATTTTTCATTTGATAGTGGCCCTTTAAATATGGGTTTATACTGCTGATTCAGCATTTAATGCTACTTGGTCCTGAAATGTTTCAGAAATTAGCCATTTGTGTGAAACAAATGCCCTATTGTAGAGCATGCTCCTGTTGTTTTCTCTGCTTATCCTAATATATATCTACATTTTTTTGTTAGCCTCTAAGGTACTGCAGGGCTATTCGCTGTTTTTAAAGTTTTTCCTAATATACCTGTTTGCTGTTCCTTGCAAAACAGGTTGCTGAGTCACCCGAAGATCAGGATGGCTCCACAGAAGTTGTCTCTGTCCCTCCCTTTACCTGTGGTTTACCAGGATTAAAGCACTCCACCAATTACAGTGTGCGAGTTCAGTGCACTAATGAGATGGGCACGTCCCCTTTCACAGACTGGGTTTATTTTCAGACCCTGGAGTTAGGTAAGCAGAGTTGGAAAAGTTAAAGGAAGCACTGCTATAACGAGTCAGTTCTGATCAGGTTGGGGGAGATCAGGACAAATGATTAATGATTTGAATTGAGCTCCTCAGTGAGTCAGAAAGGCAAGGAACCTACAAGTCATCTGTTTGTGAATCCATTCTGAAGTCTCCTAGGCTATACCTACACAGCAGAGTTATTTCAGAATAACGGACATTATTCCAAAATAACATAGTCCACATCTACACTACAAGCCTTTATTTCAACATAATGTTGAAATAATGTCGAGCTGGAGGCAGGGGCGGCCTGTGAATATAGGCCAACTCGGCCGTTGCCTAGGGCTCCGCCTTCAACAGGGCGCTCCATGATGACATCACGTCATTGACGGCCGTGCAGGCGGGGGTGCCAATCGCACGTTCCGCCTAGGGCGCCAGCTGCCACAGCCCACTTCAGGCCGCCTCTGGAGGACTGCTTCCTCCAGCTCCTGTAATCCTCATTTCACAAGGAGTAAGGGAAGTCGAAGGAAGAGTGCTCTTCCTTTGACTTCCTGCTGTGTAGACCGTGCCAAAAGCTGAAATAAGCTGTTTTGACTTAAGCTACACAATTGACATGGCTCAAGTGAAGTAGCTTATTTTGACTGTAGCCCTGCTGTGTAGACATGTCCCTAAAGCCCTGCTCTAATTATTTGTCTTACTGTGAGTGATCAGAAAAAATGATTGTAAACCAGATTTTTTTTTTTAGGGTAGTTCCTTATTTATCCTCATTCACTAGTTCCCAGATCATATTGCAAGTTTATAAGTCAAATGAGAAAGCTACAAACCCTACTTAGGATCTTAAAATAAAAGCAATATAATGGGCCAAACATACCCCTGGTGACTCATTGCTGGTGTAACATCAGGGAGTCCTACCAGGGATGAATTTAGCCCAGGCATTCTGCTTTTTACATCATCCCTAATAATAAAAATGGCTGGCAACGCTGATGCACAAGGCAGAATGGAAACTAACTCACACACCCACAGCTGTATTATCTGGGCACGCAGGCCTAGCAGGCTTAACAGCTCCTCTTTGTGCTGGTGAAAGATACGTCGAAGTTTTGAAGCCAGTTTGCAGGCCTGGGGTTCTGTGGGCACTGGTTTGTGCTCTGGAGGATTGCTGAGAGCCACGTGGCCCTTGAGAGTAGGAGGTTTGAGATCTACATGGGATAAGGGGTTAAGTTTCTTCTACTTCTTCTGTAGGAGTCAGGAGGTGGGGGCTAGCCCCAAGCTGCCTAAAGGAAGAGCTGTCAAGAGAGGAACCTTGCAGAGATTTTTATTTTCTCTCCAGACTTTCTCCTTTGGGTTTTCCCTGGAGAGTGGGTGACCTGAGCCTTTTGGTGACTCTTGCTGTATGGGTGGAGGGAGGTGAGGGTTCCTGTTTTGTAGTGCAATTGACTGAGTATCACCCTTTGCCTCCAGCTCCAGGCAGCATTCCACAAAACCTTCACGTCATCCAGAGAGACACTAGCCTGGTTTTGGGGTGGGAAGAAGTAGCTCCAAACCCGCTGAAAGAAAATCTACTGGGATATAGGCTGGAGTGGAGTCAAGAAAACATCACGCAGGTACTGTATCCAGAAATCAACCCTAAGGAGACTGGTGGAGGTTCCTTCAAGACAGAGTCATGGGATGTTTAAATCGAGTCTCATAGACCACACAGCCTCTCCTATGTGCTGTTGTCTCTGAGCTGGATTCTCAGCTGGTGTAAATCGGCATCGCACCTTGGTTTCAGTGGAGTGGCTCTTGATTTACACCATTTGAAGATCTGGCCCAGTTCTGCTTTCTTTGTACACCCAAAACTCCCATTTGTATCGATTAAATACCATCAGTAAATCTGTGAACATAGTCATTTGAAATTAATGGGAGTTTTAGGAATTCCAAATATGCAACAGTGGGGGTGGGGGGAGGGGGAGGGAGAGAGGGTTGAACTGCCTTGAGTGACTGTATCTCAAGGCAAGCAGACCCTTGGGTTGATCATTTATTATGTGTAATTTGACTGTGCTCAGCTATCTGAGTGATGGTTGCAGGGCATTGGAGAATCAAGTCCTTAAGCATTTGAAAATAGGAAGTGGTGTGTAAGTGTGAAGTGTTATTACAATGTGCATATTTCCATAGTTCCTTGGGCCCCCACAGTGGTTACCTTGCACCCAGAGCTTTTCTACCAGGACAGCTGGGGGTTCTTATTACCCTCTGCAAGCGGCTCCCTCCCCCGCCCCGGTGACAGAGATGGTGTATTCATGCATGGCTCAGTGCATTGTGTACTAGTGATTGCCAGCTGCATAACTGCCTCTAGGAGGCCGGAGTAAATTTGTGTAGCCCAGAGATCTCAGGCACACTGAGGCTCGACCATTTCCCAGCTGCTCCCTGCATCAGAGACATGTCCTAGAAAACCACTCTTCTTCCCCTCTTAAGGTCCTGTGCCAAGCAGTTGGGCCCATGTGGAGGATTTGGGCCTTCTATCTACTGTGGCTTGTTTATTTTTCAAGTGCCAGGGATACAATAAAATTAACTACTGCAAATTATGTGAAAGGGGGTTAAAATCCTTTATTTCGTTCATAGTGATTAAGGAGATTTAAAAGGGCACTGTCACCGGGGTGGAACCGGAACATCAAGACTTACATGTTCTTGATACCTGCTTTTGAAGTTTATGTGATTCTATATGAGGGTTACCCACTTCCATACAAGTGCTTTGCCAGTGACTCCATAACAATGAACAAGTCTGCAATAACAGACAAAGTGGGGGGACTAGACATGCACCAATTTCATACTAGTACAAGTTCACTGACTTTGGTGGAAATCCTCTTGAATTGTATCCATTGGAGAGGAAAATGAGGCCCAGTATTGGTAGCCAAAAAGTTTCAAGGTTTTATTGTAAGTGATGCCTGTAAAATGGGTCTTTAAAATTATGGCAGATACCTTGGCCATGTTCTGTTCAGTGAAAGTTGGCTATGAATGCTGGATGGTGATTAGAATTTGGCAACACATTCAAACAAACAATTTATTTTTCTGATTAAACTGGCAGTGGTTTTGCAGTGTGTCTAATGTCTTTGAAGCAAGAGGGATTGTGTATTTGAAGAGGACAAAAGCAGATATTTCTGAAGCTATTTCCTCCAAAGGCCTCAAAGCATTCATTAATTAAGCCTCACAATGTTCTTAGGAGCTAGGAAGACATTACTGATAGCAATTTTAGAGACAGGGAAGCTAAAACACAGAGCACATGAAGCCTGAGGTAACATAGCCTGTCAGCGCCAGAAACAGGAGAACCCAGGAATCCTGACTCCGGCTTTGCTCTAACCGCAGGACACACAGATCCATTTTTAATAATAAGAATAATTATAAATAAAGCAGTTTTGCCCTGATTCCTTTGCATTCAGGTTACTGCTTGTTCTTGTTGCTTTCAGGGAGAAATGACAGTACAAGAGACAAAAGCCAATCTTACCACCTGGAATCCCCAGAAGGACCTTATAATCAGAGTGTGCGTTCTGAACTCGGCTGGCTGTGGACCCTGGAGTGACACCTTGTTGGTTGCAGCCCAAGAAATTGTAGGTGAGTAACAGGATAATTTTAGTTTGTTTTTGACCTGGCGAAAATCCTCTCTCATACGCTTGGAAACAGTGATTGCTGCTCATACCACCATGTCTTGCTGGCCCTGTGCCTTTCAATGCACACGGCGGACTAAGCCTCATGGCTATGTAAACAGCACATTTAGTTGAACAAAACAGAATTTAAATAACCTTTAAAGAATTGGCATAAGCAATACAGTTCCCACCTGCTGCTGTATTCTTTAGCTGATGCTGTAGTGGGTAGTAAATGGAGGGGGAGGGAGATACAATTCAAGAGATAAAGGCAAGGGCCTGGTTCTCCTCTGGCTTAGGCTGTGTCTACACACATTTGCACTGACTTAGTAAAACTGGTGCAGTCTCCCATGTGGCTTTTCTTCTCTGGGTTTAGTTTAAACTGGGGACGTGAATGATTTAACTGGTGGGGGCTGGAGCAGTGTGGGCAGGGGTTCTCCAGCCCAGCCAGAGCAGCCCCCACATATGGCAGAGGACACAGCTGCTCCAGCCCAGCTGTGGCAGGTGGATGGGCTGCTCCAGCCCAGCCGGTTAACTGATTAACTGGGATTTTACGTCCCTAGTTTAAACCAAAATAATACAGGCTTAACCTGAGTCCCCACACAGCCTTTTGCACTCACTTAACTAAATCAGCTTAAAATCAGTCTCTATATTAAATCAGAGAACCGTGCATATAGACAAGCCCTAATACTGGAGTAAATCTGGAGTTATTTCAGTGGACTCAGTGGTCCAGGCCTACAGCTATTATACATCAGCATGTCACTAGACTGAGGCAAAGCGAGTGTATACAGCTGAGGAGATGACACTGTGGAGTTGCAGTGGTGCAGGTGAGAGGAGGCTCAGGCACACTGAGCCTGCTACAGAATGGCCAGGCTGGGTCAGACAATGGTTCATCTTGCCTTTTCTCCTGCTGTCCAACTGTGGCCAGTATGTCAAAGGGAATGAACACAACAGGGCAATCTTGAGAGCTCCATCATCTGTTGCTCAGTCCCAGCCTCTGGATGCCAGAGGTTTAGGGCCATTCAGAGCATGGGTTGTGTCCCTGACCATATTGGCTAATAATAATTGATGGACCTGTCCTCTCCATTTCCTTTCATCATTTGTGATTATTTACTCCTAAGTAAAGGCCCTCGAGCTGAATGCAGGGGAGAATCTAGCCCATGTAAATGCCAAAGGGCTGTAAAGCCCTGAAATTTTTATATGGAAGCACTTTTGCACTCGGCATAAATGACTCTTAGAGGCACAGACAGGGCAGTAGGTAGTCTGGCCATTTCTCTTCTGTGTGGATTGTTTCTGACTGCATTTGCTTTGAATGTTGTAGTGTTTACCGACCCATAGCCCCTGTTTGCTGTATTAGTGTCACTTTTTATATTTCATTTCCTGCATTAAAAATAAACTCTTGGCAGAGTCTCATTTTAAAATATAATTAATTGTGTGGCTCTGGCGGTCATGAAAATGAAAGACTAATAACACTGGGACAGATCCTGAATTCCCAGAGAAATCCTACCTCTTTCATCCCTTCTGATGATAGATGGCTGTCCATGCCCAATGATGATATTATTATTTGCAAATCAGAATTTCTCTCCTCCTCACCCACCCTGATTTTCAGTGAGATTTCAGCTCCTAGATGCCTTCACTTTTGAAAATGGGACTTAGCCATCTAAAGCACTTAGGCCTTGCAATGATGACCAAGCAAATCCTACAAAAATTCCTTTCAAAATCTGGGCCTTACAGTCTAAATGAACAAGGTAGACAAAGATCAGGAGGAAAGGATGTGGCATATGTACAGGACGATCAGGATCTCTGTTCAGTTTTATATAAGCTCTTACACTGCACTCCTGACCATAGCATTTAAGCTTCTTCTGGTCACGCATTAACAACATGACTGACATCTGTCCTCTCATTCTCTCCACAAAGGGAGAAATGTGTATAGCAGAGCAGCTTATTGTGGCAGGACTTGGCAGGGGTGGAGGGGATTGGTTTATTTTTTTTTTTTTAATATTCATGTTTCAATGTATTTGTACTAGAGAAGGCAAGGTCAAAGAAATGCAACTTGCACTTAGTTCTTGGGGGAGTTAATTCCACCATTCTGAGGTGGCCTCCAAAAAAGCTCTATCTCCTACACAGATGAGCTTTACCCTTATATTGAGCACTCCATTTTTTGAGGAGTACAGGATCTTTTGAAAAGGGGCATTTCTGTCTAAACTGCCATTTTTTTTCAAAAAGCCCCGTTTTGAAAAAAAGCAGTGTCTGCCATTATGCAAATGAAGCACGTGATATTTAAATCCCGACTTCATTTGCACTTTTGATACATCTAAGTTACGTCCCTCTGCCAACAGAGGGGTGTAGTTTAGATGTACCCCTAGTGGCTGCATGTTGGTGGCAAAAAGGAGCAGTGAAGAGAATTGATCCTCGTGAGATTCCAGGAACTCTACAAATGGTGGCAATGCAGTTTTCCATCTCTACTCTTTGGGTATGTCCTCCAGAAGGACTAAGACCAATTTTGCACATTACTTTGGGTCCCTACTAACTCTCTCATGTAAGATAGCATAGTCTGATTGTTAAAAGCATTGAATGCTGCAGAGAGGTCCAGGAGAATGAGACTGGATGTCTGCTTCTATTCACTGAGAGGAGATCATCCATCAATGCCACTGAAGTGGGTTTGCTTTCATGTCACAGCATGAATCCAGTCTTTGCCAGGCCTGTGACATTAGCTCCAGAGAAAGGAACTCTTAGTTGGCTTTGATGAATGCAGTGCCACCAGGTGGACGAGTGGCAAGTGTCCTATTAGCTCTGTTTATTTTTTCATTTGATTTGGGTTTTGTTTGTCTTCTTTTAATGATATATTGTGGTGTGACCTGGGGAGTAAGGGTGGGGTGGGAAAGGAAGGGCAATCTGCAGGGGACAGTTGGAGGCTGGGGAGTAAGGGTGGGGTGGGGTGGGAAAGGAAGGGCAATCTGCAGGGGACAGTTGGAGAACAGAGACTATACGCAGTGGTGGAGGAGAGGAGAGGAGGAAAACAACCAATTAGCAGGAAGAAAAATGTCCAGCATCAGAAAGTGAGGTATGAATGGTGTGGGGAGAGTAGCCCAGAAGGTTCCAAGTGCTCTGGTGTTGCCGTGGCCACTCCCAGCTCCTGCTGGAGAGGGGAGGCTCCAAAGAGGATGGCTTCATCTGTGGTTTCTTTCTTCCCCAGCCCATGTGACTAGGGCTTGGGAGAGAAGCATGAGCCCTGGTGCATTGGGAGAGAGTGGACTGGCTGTGGTGATGGGAAGAGTCCAGCTTGGTTTCCCCAACCACCCCCCTCCCTTTGCTGCTAATGTTGCTTTTGTTGATTAAGCCATACACACTGCCCTCTATAGCCCCATGTTTGCAGTAAGGTGAGCAGTGGCGGTCATGCAGTGCTCGCGGCAGGTGGCACCTAGGCCTTTAATGTAGAACTTAGGTGGGACTGAAGTGCTGGGTGAGCATTCCTTCAGTCAGGCTGGCAGCATCCCCTGCCTGTCTTTCCTATGGCAGCCAGAATGAGAAAATCACCTTCAAGAACTGAAAAATGTGACAGGAAAAAAATCAGTGAAATTGGCAAGGGCCTCTGGGGCAGGTGTCGTGCCTGAAGCAGTGTTTAGCCTGTTCTCGTTAACTGACAAATTGCCATGGGATGGCATCCCACTAAATCGGAATAAGGTCACCATAAAACAACAACAACTTTTTTTTTTTTGGTTTTGTCTCAAAAATTACTGTTTAAATAAAAAATCTCTGCATTGATGGTTTTTATGGCCTTCAACAAGTACACATGACCAAGGGCACAAAAGCAGGAAAACAGGGTTATATATAGAAATGCTGACAGTCCCTAAACTATAGAACTGCAGAAATAACATAACTGTATTCCAGGCCTGTGCCTGAGAGAAAAGAAAAGGAGCTGACTTTCCAAAAAATAAACATCTGGCCCTGGATACACTTTGTGTGGGTGCTCGGTGGGCAGAATGCCAAGAGTGGGTCATTAACATTTCCATAGGCCAGGGTAAGCTTTATAACAACTTTCAATCTTGTCACTGCAGGGAGCCAGTTAGAATTCTGCTTTCTAAACACTGGAATCTCTTGCTTGGATAGAAGAAACAGGCACAAATACTGTAGGGACATGGGTTAATAGCTTTTCTCTGTGATGTTTCTATAAAAACGAGTAGTCCTGTGGCACCTTAGAGACTAACAAATATATAGATAGCATCATGAGCTTTTGTGGGCAAAATGCATTTCTTCAGATGCTGATCATGTGCTCAGGGGGACCCTTAGGATGTAGTCTTTGTATATCCATGGGGTGAAAGAACTGCAAAGCTAATAAAAACCAGTGGTCTCATAACACGGGAATGCTCCTAAATGCTCATGTAAGTACGTATATAATTCTGCTGTAGTTTTGTCTCATGCAGAGCAGTTAATAAAATGTCTTTCACAGACACAGAGAGAGGGTGGAGGGTGAAAAGCACACATGGTCCGTGCCTGCCAAAAGTGTGTATGGAGTGTGGGGAGTATGGGCAGCCAGGTTCATGGATGTATCCACCCACACAATACAGTTGTGTTCCACCTTTGCTAGAAGTTCATCTCAGTTAATCAACCAGATTTTTGACGATCAGTTGAATAGTTGCTTAAGTCAAGTCTCACTGTTGATAAGATTTCTCCAAGGTGCACACAGTTAATATTTAGGGAAGGATTATTTCAGCTTTTCTTTGTCTAGCATAGATGGTCGTCTGCTTCCTAACCAGTGTTTTATCTTCTCTCTAGGTGGCCAGAGACAACCGCCCTATGGGACATCATGGGTCCCTGTGGCTTTGGGAATTCTCACTGCCCTGGTTACAGCTGTTGCCCTGGCACTCATTCTCCTTCGAAAAAGAAGAAAAGAAACTCGATTTGGGTAAGAAAGATTCTTTTTGTGGTTATGGAGGCTGGTCTCCAGCTCCCCTTCCACTGAGGTGCCTCATTTGCTGCTTTTTGTAATCAAGACTTGTTGCAGATTGAATATTTCTACTCCTTGTTTGGAGCCATCACATTGTCTGATAGAGTTGGGTGGGGAGACCCCTGCAGCAGTTGTCATTTTGTGCGTCTGTTTGCCTCCTAGACATGTCTTTGGCAGTGTGATCGGCAGGGGAGAGCCAGTGGTCCATTTCAGAGCAGCCAGGTCTTTCAACCGGGAAGGCCCAGAGCGGATTGAGGCAACATGTAGGTAAAACGATCTGAATTCCAACAAGTCCTATGCACGTG